TATATAGATGCCCATTAAGTCTGCTATTTGAGCCGAGTCGTAGGCACCCATTTCAGAAACAGATGCAATCTATGCCTGGAAGAAAAAATTAAAATAATCAAGTGCAAAAATACAAGCCAGTTATTGAACCAGAGAAATGAAATCATGTTTAAATGTCAGCATAAAAATAGGTTTAAATTGTCTGAAAAATAGACATTTATTCTGCACCAAATACTGAAAAATATATTAGGTTTGTAACTATGTGTATATACTTATCTATGTATATATCTATTGCGTGTGTGTACATATATATATATATATCTATATCTCTCTATATATATATTAATACATATGTCTTCATTTTTAATACATATATGTGTTGATAGGTGTTTTTAATCTTATGCTAGATTATAAGTAATTTTTATTACTTTTATTAATATTATTTATTTTTACCTTTTTTAAATATATGATATTATATATTTTATTATTATTATTATTATTGTTGTTATTATTATTATTATTATTATTATTATTATTATTATTATCTTATGATAAAATGATGATGATATTTAAAAATATAACATAGATGGCATTTCCGTGAATTTTATTTCATTATTATATTTATTATTATGCTTAAATTAAAGGTAATTTTTATTACTTTTATCTATTATTATTTATTTTTACCTTTTAGAAATATTATATTATTTTATTATTATTATTATTATTATGATGATGACAAATATAATGATGTTCAAATGTATAACACCATAGATTGCATTTCCGTGAAATTTATTACTGGTTGTGTGCTTAAAGATTTATCCTTAAAAACTTCCCCTACCTTCTCTTACTCCTATATACAAACATCTTTGTTTTCTCTCACTTGTCTCCATCTTCAATAGAAAAAGAAAGGAAGAAAAAAAAAAAGTTAAAAACGCTACATTTTTTGTGTGTTTTTTAATCAAAATGTCTGGCTAAAATTATATCATTTAATAAAATTTAGTCGGTCTGATGAGGCATATATATATATATATATATATATATATATATAAATTGCAGCTAATAATAGCCTCATCGACATATAAAAAAGTTTAAGATAATGGAAGCATTGATAATAAAAAAGAGAAAAACTAACACTCAATAACATCAACTTACGAAAAAAATCCATAACTCTAGATATATACCTAAAAATCTACAAATTCATCTTAAAATTTTTTTAAAAACATACTTGATAATGGCTAAAAGAATAGCCGAAAGTGCACGGACATACAGAACATTCGGAGAATTTTTACATACTTTATGTCCGGAAAAAAAAAAAAAAAAAAAAAAAAAAAACTTATAAGAACATAAAAAAAACTTAAACAGCAGTACCTTGTCAGACGTCTTTAGTGAAATTTGTATAAAAGACGGATTGCTGCCCCAAATACACAATTATATATATATATATATATATATATATATATATATATATATATATATATATATATAAACAAAAGGCACAATGTTCTTTTACATCGTCTTATTTCTTTACCCTGTCTACACGTCCAATAATATTGAATTTTAGAAGAACATGACGAATCATTCACATAAGACGTCAACTGAAGACTTCTGGCTTCTTGATTGATTTTACGAATCTAAGCGCAATACTAGATTGGCAGTTAGGTCTCATCATTTTTCAAGTGAAATTGCTAGATGTAACCATAAATTCTATGCTAATAGCTTCTTCTTTTGCACTCCTCGGTTGTGAAACTCTTTTCTGGCTTCTTGCTTTCCTGTCAATTTGATTTTTGAAAATTTGAATATAATCTTTATCTTCGATCTTAATTACTATTCTTTCCTCGTACACTCTCTCTTTAATAATGTTTTTCTTTTTCTCAAGTTCTCTCACACTTAGTAATACCTAGTGCCTTTATTACCTTGCTTGAAGTGAAACGATTAAAAAAAAAAAACTCTAAAGTACCACTTTCACAATTTACACACACCACCAACTAGAATCTTACAAGAAGTACTACCGAGAATGCAACATTTTGTTCGTTCCAGATTTATTTACAATTCATATTATTTCTATCAGAAAAATAACACGCTAAACAGGATAGATGCAGTTCGATAGGCCAGGAAACAATCCTTCTAGGGGAAGGAAAACCCTGATTTTAAATTTCCGCGGTCTTGCTGTCCTATCCAGACACTGAAAAGGCCATGGAAATAAATCTAGACAGATAACCTGGAGTGGAAACCCGAAGGCAAGTTGGCGCTCAACACTGACAACTTTGCTCTTGCAGAAGCAAGCCGGCCCTAAATGTAATGCCCGGTATTCGTTTGGATCATGTCGGTACGGCCGAGAGTGGGGCTATGTAGCATGGGTAGAGCACGACCTTCATACACCATCGCCATTCTTGGAAAAGGAAAACTCTGAATTCAAACCACCTGATGCCTTGTAGGTCGTGCCTCTTTAAATTCTGGAAGGAGGGACGGGTCAACCTCAACATTCCTGGTGCAAAAGGTACTGGCAAGCCATTGCAAAATTCTGTCTTGAATGTCACCAAAAACCACATTCGTTTCAGATTGGATAGTGTAGAACGTCGTCTCTCCTTTCTTATCTTAAGTTCACATTCATAGTCCAGCCTCTTGACACTGCCACATGGTCTTCTTCTTTTTCTATGTGTCATGCGCCTTCAGCACATTGGCGAATATGGTCCTCCATGATTTCCTTTCCTTTGTATCTTAGTAAATCTTGTCTTTTTGCTATTTCTCCTAAACCCCGTTCCGCCATTTATTTACACAAGCTCGTAAGATAGGTTATGCGTTGTTTGCCTATGCACCCCCTTTCATTCAATATGTCCTGTGAGTGTTAAATTTTCCAAACACTCTTTCCTCATTATGTGCTCCAGAAATTTCAACTTTTTCTTTCTGGTGTTAAGTATAAGTGTCTTTATTTCCATTTTCTCCAAAACTTTGTCGTTGCTCACTTGTTCTGGCCATGTTATTCTCAGCACTCTTATATAGAACAGCATTTCTGTTACTTCAAGTCTCTTCTTTATCTGTGAGGAGATTGTCCAACATTTACTGTCATACTTTATTCATGTCTCCCATCAGTTAATTAACGTTTTATTTCAGCATTCATGACTATTGATTGGAATATTGTGTACCCAAGTACATACGATGTGGTTGCACTTTCACACTGTCTGCAAAAAGTCTGTTGTAATGATGAAGGCTTTGTTAGCGCCACTGTTGTCGTTTTTGCAGATGATGACTAAGAAATTATGTTATATTCAAATATATTTTCACGCTTCAACGATACACTAAGTTCAGGTTAATGAGTCTAATATTTATTTATCTTCCCTTGTCACGTAGACGACAAGTCTAGTTGTCAGTTAATTGCCTTTTAAACAAATTTATCAAAGAAAAACAGTTCCATATTTTTAGGCACGATTTAAATAATAAATATTTAAAATTATATCCAGTATCCAAAGAAAATAGAAGGAATTAAAAATCGGAATAAAAAAAAGAATAATCAAATAAAACAATTGTTTATATTTCTATCATATCGCCTGTTTTAAATCTAAAATTGTTGGTTATAATTACGTTTGTTTTTACAAATCTATCTATCTATCTATCTATCTATCTATCTATCTATCTATCTATCTATCTATCTATCAGTTCCAAAATCTGATAGCGATCAACTCGATGATATTTACAATATTCTATACATTCTTTTCTTTCAAACCAAATGACGTTTACAAAAACAATGAATTTGGTAAATAACTTAATGAACGCTATTGATTATTATTGAATCTATGAAATGTAATTCTAATTAAACATACTTTTTTATATTTTAAACATAATTTAGATCTTTTTCTGACGTTTCTATATAGCATGGACTATGAAAATCACCTCTATCAAGTGTTCCAAGAAATAGGATTTAAAATAAACCTTTTCAAAACAGAAACTTTGAGCTGAAAATGCAAGGAGAGCAATGATGGCACGTACACTGAATTCATCATAAAAATTTAAGACGCGGAATTAGTAAATACTAAACACTTCAAATACATCGGTGCATGAATTAGTTATTAAAAAGATTAGTATAGAAGAAAAGGAAATTGAGAATAGACTAATCTGCGCTACAGGTAGTTTTGCCCAACACCGCATATTGCTGCAAAACTAAAACATTAACATGAAAATTCGAGCCATGTTCTTAAATAGTATCATCAGATCGAACCTTTCATATGGATATAATGCATGGCGTCAAACTCGTTCATAAATCTTTAAACTGTCTGTTTCTCAGATCATTGGTTAGAAATTGTTTTGAGCGAGTGAATCCTATAGGTCTTTGTGAAAACCATCTTAGAATTTTGATTGTGATTCTATATTGCCAGTCTACAAAAAACTGTACCACGTAACTTGAGGATTATCAACAACAGCAACAAGTAAAATGGATAACACATGTAACTCGAAGAGAAAATAAATCTATCTATGTATATTTGCTTGTCTATATATCTATTTATGCCAATCTGTTCTGTTATTTTATAGACGCATAAATGTGGTTAAATGTTTTAACGAACTGTTCCTACCCTAAAGTGACCACCACTTTTTTCACTAGTAATTTACTTCCTGTATTGTAACAAAGGATTTATAGTTAATTGGACTCGAGCACCCAGTCGACTATTCTGTTTAATTCACAAAGAATTCGACTTGAATAACTCAAATCGAACGCTGTTGACATTATTGATTCTTGCCGAAGAGAAGCCGTTGCATATATATATATATATATATATATATATATACATATATATATATATTAAACAGCGAAAATAATGTTCAACGACCAAGACATTATTATTAAATAATATTATTAATAAAGAAAAATGTACCTCTCGCCTATGATGAAACCTACTTTATCTTTATTCTTGGTACACCCCTCCCCCTTTTTAGTTAGGCAGACTTTAACGGTTCGGGCATAAAAAGTCTCTACAGCAAAGCAAGGCTGAGTTACCTCTTTCATGAAATATTCATATCTTGTCCCGGGCTTACGGCCATATCACGGTGAAAAACCGGTTCTCATACGATCACCAAAGTTAAGCAAAGTTGACATTGGTCAGTCCTAGATGGGTAACCACTTGGGAATACCAGGTGCTTAAAATTTAGATGCGCGGTCGTTGTAATGGATAATGACTCGGAATTGGAAATCGGAGTACCAATTCAAGTCGGGCTTGTTTTATTCACATACGTGTAAATACCCTTGGGTAAAATATGGGTCCATCTTTTCTCTCCCCAGCTATAGGGGAATTAACAGGACTTGATTATTATATGAAAAAATTCTTGCAATCTAAAATATTTTCTGGCTTTAAATAACCTGCAAAGGTTTGGTAACTCATAAAAAAATAGATCAAATCTCATTGGGACTTCGATGCTTATATCAGCTAACTATATCCATTAATTATTATGTTTATATTTCATGTCCTTTTTGCCCTTTTCATCCCGGTGATGCTGAAATATGCATTCACAGACACAGAGAGCAGTGTCAAGTTTCAGTTTCGAAAAACTGGTGGTCTCTTCAATCATCAGCGCTTCGAAGTCAAGACCCACATTCGTACGCAAATTATTCGCGATTTGTTGTTTACTAATGCTGCTGCTCTTGTAGCGACATCCTTTGAGGAGGCTCAGCATCTAATAAATCGTTTCTCTGCTGCATGTAAAGCATTTGGTCTTACGCTTAGCAGAAAGAAAACTGAAGTAGTGCACCAACCTTGTCCTACTCCGAAGCAATTCTGTGATGAGAAACAAAAACCACCAGTCTACAAATGTCCAGAAAGACCATCGAAAATAGAAGACAAAGCCCTGGACTATGTAAAGTCTTTCACCTATCTTGGTAGCAAAGTCAACTATAGTAGAACTTTAGATGATGAAATCATGCATCGGATTGCTAATGCTACCAGTGCTTTCGGCAAACTTCGCCATCGCTTGTGGAATGAGTGGGGTATTCGACTGGATACGAAAATTCGGGTTTACAGAGCTGTTGTACTTGCTATCTTTTTGTACGGCTCAGAGTCGTGGACTCCATACAGGTACCATATACGCCAGCTAGATGTTTTCCATAAAAGCTGTCTGCGTGCAATCTGTGGAGTTAGCCTTCAAGATAGGACATCTAACGTATACCTATTTAACAGGTGTAATATTGGAGGAATCAGTTACGGTTGACTGGTCATGTCTTGAGAATGTCTGATGACAAGATACCCAAGATCCTACTTTACAGCCAGTTAGATCAGGGCCACAGGAATGTAGGACGCCAGAGACTAAGATACAAAGACAACCCGAGGAGCAACTTGTCAGATGTCAATATACCTCACAACACCCCCGAGCGCTTAGACTTTGGAGCGGGTAGAATGGAGATCAACGTGTTTTGTGGACTCAGCAGTTTTTAATCTGCTTGTCTGAATCATCTTCAAGAAGCGAGAGCAAGATCTAAAAGGTCAGACAATATAATAGTGATATCATCCCACAATCTTGCTCTTGCTCCATATGCGGCCTCCTTTGTAAGGTCTTAAGTGCCACTTAAGATTATCGCACAAAATTTCATAACTGAATCAATTGGTTAAATTGTCAGATCCTCATACGTCGAAACCAACGAGAGAATCCATTATTATTCCATGTAGGATATATATATATATATATATATATATATATATATATATATATATATATACACTACAAACTGATACCATAAACAGTTTGAAGAATCCTGCGAATTTTAAAATTAAAATTTGTAGCTGAAAATGGTCATTAACTCAAGGTATCTAAATTCCAGTTGTAAAGAAAATTTCCTCTGTTTAATAAAAATAAACATTGAGCGCTCTTTCGTGTGTCACTTTTAACATGTTTCAAATTCTATGTTGTATTAATAGGACTCGCCTGAATTATACCAACGGATTATTACCTGTATATATATATATATATATATATATATATATATATATATATATATATATATATATATATATATATAAATATATATTAAAAGATTATATTTCGTTGAGTAAAAAAAACAAAAAACACACACACACATATATATAAGTTTAGTTCATTTGTCTAAGTTTCTCGATACACAGTGTATCTGAAAATAATGCATTAGTCGCTCACCTTTCAATGAGGCTGACGTTAATTCCGATTTAAAAAATGCTATTTTAATTAAAAGAGAAAACAATCTACTAAGGTGAAAATGCACTGATTGCTAAATCATCCACCGTAAATTTTCGTCCATGTTCTTAGAACCTTTCATGACAGATCTTCTGTTATCACAATGTGGGATGCTTAACAGCACAAAAGTAAAAACAAAAACAAAAGCCTAATAGAAACTAAATGAGATCGGCTAGACTCTGTGTCTAGATACGTCTGCTAAATAACTCAAATATTTAAATTTCAGTGTTTGCACATCGTAGGCGTTTCCCCTTCGTACATAATTATAACCAATGCTTGTTTTTATATACCCCCTTCTCCTCCAACACATATATAATCTCATCAATAGAAATATTAATTTTTTAGTCTGATTAAATCTTTCAAGAGGACGAAACGCGTTAAACAGAATTTTTTTCGTTTTTTCATTCCATAGCCTAACATCGTTCTGATATATAGAAATTTATATATAATATACCTCTCATATGTGTGTGTGCGTGTGTGCGTGTGTGTGTGCAAAATACCTCCATAGCTTACCGTTTACTTACACAGTTTTAAGAATATTTAGAGGGTTCTTAAATTTAAAAATTTTGAAAATTTATTTTTTTACATTTTTTTTTTTAAGCATTTCACCCCAAGCAACGCCGGAGTGTCCACTAGATGCAAGGGATTACAGAGAGTGAAAGTAAGAGAAAAGAGAGGTGTTTGAGGAAAGGATAAAGAGAAGGACGGGGATCAAGATCACGACATCAGAAGATGTCGATTGATATTACATTTAAATTTTTGAAGATATTTATCAGGGAAGCAAGTAAGAGGAAAGGAGTTCCACTGTCAGGAAGTGTCAGAGAAGAAGCTGTTGGAATAGAAGAAGCGATTACATTTGACTGTTTCGAGAGTAAAAGTTTGGGACAGAGATGCTTACCCAGTAGAACGCTTAAATTCATGCAGTTAGGGCACCAGTGAAAATAGCTCGTCAGAGCAGTTGCCATGAAAATATTTGTAGAAAAGACAGAGGGAAACTACATCACGTCTGTGAGAAAGTGACTGGAGTTGAGATGCCAGGTCAGGACATATCACATTGTATAACCGTCTTTGGATTTTGTCGAGAGCCTCGACATGAACAGCGGGAGCACCAGACCATAAATGGCAACAGTATTCAATGCAAGGACAAATGGTAGATTTGTAGATTTGAAGTATGGACGAGAAAAACCTTCTGGCGCGAAGGAGAGAACCAACTTTTCTTACGGTAGATGTAGCTATTGATTCAATGTAGTTGTTCTCCACCCCCAGGTCCGTGGAAAACATGAGACCAAGAAGGTACAGAGAGATAATCTCATGAAGTTGAGCATTAGCGATACTGATAGGAGGGAGGAAGGGAGGGGGGAGGTTTTTCTGTGGTGGGTAAATGAGAGCAGTTTCGTTTTGGAGGTTTATAAATACAAGTTACAAAATAAAATTCTTACATCTATCTTGACAAAGTGCCCCAGAGGAAGAAACGCGTCGGTAAAGAAAAGTTTCCCTTTTGTTTTTATCCATATACGCACTTTGCTGTTTTCATTGACCTTATTAGACAAATTAGTCGGGTGTGGGGAGGAATTTGAAAAGCAACATTTAAATGCCTGCCTTTATTTAGGCTTGAATACTGTCACTGTCACTTGTAGCTGATATACTGCTAACTCATCAACCATTTTTTAAAAACCTTTTTGTCTATATTTCCATGGCACCTGACTGTCACGAATATTGCACATAATAGTTGATCACACCTCAGTTCCACAGTGTTGTATTATTGCCTCCAGCATTTGTTTGGGGATCATTTTTCAAGTTGATGCCATTTAGGAAAAAAGAAAATGGATAACCAAAGAAAATAGCTAACAAAAACGAATGATTTTTCAATTCTTTTTAACGGAAGTGAAAGCAAATCGATAGTAAATTTTAATTAGCTTTTGTTACCGTCTAAGTTCCAGACGAAACTTTCGTTGTTTTAATCGACTGAAACCAAATTATTAGACAAAATATAATCAATACGACCTCCTATAAACTATTTGCCAACTTTGGTAGATCTACAGTAGCAAAGAATAAAAATAACGCCATTTTTAAACTGCCAGCCGGCAACATGGAATTACCTCTTTTATGATGAATTCTTCTTAAAAACAAAGATTATTTGAGCTGTCGAGTTTTGTTCGTGTATAGACTGAAAAAAGGACGGTGGGAGAACGCCATTGTCTTGGACTTACTATACTATTAAGAATTAGTTGTTTACCATTTACTTAGCATAAAAATAAGCTAACCTTTTTATTTCTCCATACATTATACATCTTTCGGAGAATGTTTTCAGGATTACTGCATTTAGTAAAAAGCCATTTTTAGTCGTTATTAATGGAAGAATTTATTGACTCAAATGTAAAAAAACCCCAAAAAACAAAAAAAAAAATAAACAAAAAAACAAACAGAATCCCTGAACAAACAAGAGTTTTAGCATTATATGAAATAATGAAAACTTTTCATTTCACAACTTGAAACTAAATTCAACTAAATTCTTTGAAGGTTTAGTTTATCCGAATTCCCCGAAATTTTTAGCATAGACGTTCCTTGTATTGGAAAGACGTCTAATAACCTTATCATGAGTCTCGTAACGCATTAAAAGCACCATATGTACTGTCGCCATAACAGCAAAGTTGTGTCTACGTCATGATAACCGGACGAAGCCCACCACTTTTCAGGATTTTTTTTAAAATTCGATGTTGCCCTCCTCTTAGAATGGTTGCTACCTCAAAACAAGATAGTCCAATTCATTTAACCTATAACTAGGAGATGAAAGAAGAGATTGATCCATGCATTTCTCATGAGTATTTGTGTGAACGTAATGAACTAGGACAGAATGCGAAGTCGATTCTCTGATTGCTTTTTTCGTCACGTGAACAGTTGTGTGCTATCCAAAGATCCATTGTGTAACTTCAATTTAAAG